ATTGCCTGAGCCTGCGGGTTCGAGACCCGCCTGGGCAACTTGGCAAGACCTCATCTCTACAATAAAATAAAATTTAAAAGAAGAAATGCTGGCCTGAAACGATCCTCCTACCTTGTCATCCAAAGTGTTGGGATTACAGGTGTGCCTGGTTTGTGCTTAATTTACAAATTAAACTTTATCACATCTACAAATGTAGGAAAAACCTAGTATATAGAGAGTCAGTACCATCCTTGGCTTCAGGCCTCCTCTGGAAATCTTGGACCTTGTCCCCTTGGACACAGGTACCTATTGTTTTTTTCTTTTTTTTTTTTTTTTTTTTTAGTTAGAGTCTCACTCCGTCACCCAGGCTGGAGTGCGGTGGCACGCTCATGGTCACTGCAGCCTCGACCTGCTGGGCTCAGGCGATCCTCATGCCTCAGCCTCCTGAGTAGCTGGAACTACAGGCACGTGCCACCAAGCCTGGCTAATTTTTTGATTCATTGTAGGGATGAGGTCTCGCCAAGTTGCCCAGGCTGGTCTCGAACCCGTGAGTTCAGGCAATCCTCTCACCTCAGCTTCCCAAAGTGCTAGGATTATAGGCGTGAGCCACTGCGCCTGGCCCAGGTGCCTACTGTTAGCAGGTGACACCCACATACAGCTTACCATGAGGCAGGCTCACTCAGCCCTGGTGCCGTTAACTCACTGGACCCACAAAACTATCTGTGAACACTCTTCCATTTTACAGATGGGGTAACTGAGGCCCTAAACAAGCAAACTTGCCCAGAGGCTCAGCGGTCAGTGGTGGAGCCAGGATCAACAGCTCATGCTCTCTGCCAGCGTCCAGACTGCCGGTGGAGCTAGAGTGGGTTGTGCTCTGTCTCTGCAGGAATGCCAGCTTCTCCCTGCCCTTCAGTGAGTAACTAGCTACAGATGTGAGTTCTTTTTTTTTTTTTTGAGTTGGAGTCTCACTCCTCCGCCCAGACTGGAGTGCAGTGGTCGCTCCCAGCCACCGCAGCCTCAACCTGCTGGGCTCTGGTGATCCTTCCGCCTTACCTTCCAAGTAGCCGGAATTACAGGCATGCGCTACCTCGCCCAGCTGATTTTTCTAATTTACTGTAGAGATGAGGTCTCGCTGCCCAGGCGGGTCTCGAACCTGCAGGCTCAGGCCATCCACTCACCTCAGCCTCCCAAAGGCACGGGATTACAGGCTGAGCCACCGAGCCCGGCAGATGTGAGTTTTTGCTGAGCCTTTCTGTCCTATAGAACTTTCTCTTTCAGTATTTTTTTTTTGAGTTAGGGTCTCAATCTGTTGCCTAGGCTGCAGTGCCGTGGCACCATCATGGCTCACTGCAGCCTTGACCTCCTGGGCTCAAGCAATCCTCCTGCCTCAGCCTCCAGAATAGCTGGGACAGGCATATGCCACCACGCCTGGCTAATTTGTTAAATTTCTGTAGCGACAGGGTGTCACTATGTTGCCCAAGCTGGTCTTGAATTCCTGGGCTCAAGCAATCCTCCCACCTCAGCCTCCTAAAGTGTTGGGATTACAGGCGTGAACTACCACAAGGCACCCAGCCTAAGAGAAGTCACTTTCAGTCGCTTGGCCCCCTCATGGCCACACCTGTCCTGGACCTGGCCTCCCCTCCCACATCTGGCTGGTCCACTGGAGGCTTGAAGTGGTTTCCTATTACCCCAGCCCCACCCTCTAGACCTCCTCAGGGACTACCATAACTCCATCGAAATGGCCTCCAGTTGACTTGGTCTTTGGAAATGACAACCCTGCTAGGAGCCCTCCAGGGCAGCTCTGTTGCTCCAGGACTCTCGGGCCTCCCTGAGCAACCATCTGGAAAGACGCTGTCTCTCTCTGCAGCCCACCATGGTCCAGCCATCGGCAGTTCCTGATCCTTCTACCTCCCCATGCCCTGTGAGCCCACATGCTCTGACCTGGCCTCCTTCTTCCACTGGCCATCCTGGAAGTTGAGGCCGAATCCTGTCCCAACCCCCACCCCAGCCCCCGCCTCCGTCTCTGCTCTCCCCAGTGAGTGGAGAGGGGGGAGTTTTCTCCCCCTTCACCCATGACCCTGGCAAGGATGACACATTGAGCTTCAGGCAAACTCAACAAGGTCCTTCAAGGAATCCGAGCACTTGGGGAGGCAGAGGCCAGAGGACTGCCTGACTCCAGAGGTTCAAGACCAGCCTGGGCAACTTGGCAAGACCTCATCTCTACAATATATCAAAAAAATTAGCTGGACATGGGGGCGTGCACCTGTAGTCCCAGCTACTTGGAAGGCTGAAGCGGAAGGATCGCCAGAGCCCAGCAGGTTGAGGCTGCGGTGAGCAGGGACTGGGCCACTGAACTTCAGCCAGGTTGACAGAGTGAGACTCTGACTCAAAAAACAAGACAAAGCCGGGCTTAGTGGCTCAGCCTGTAATCCCAGCACTTTGGGAGGCTGAGGTGAGTGGATTGCCTGAGCCTGCGGGTTCGAGACCCGCCTGGGCAACTTGGCGAGACTTCATCTCTACAATAAATCAAAAAATCAGCCGGGCGTGGTAGTGCACGCCTGTA